AAAATATAAAGATCGATATTGGGGTAGGAGAATAGAACACAGAGAGGCAGGAGATACGGTCCATAAAGTGGCTAAAACAAAGCTTTCCCTGGCTGGCATTCTGGAAGAGATTTCTCACATACATTATATGCGCAGGGCAGGCTGAGTCATGTGAGGAGCGTGTCCCCAGCCACACCTAGGGTAGTGAAATAATGAGTTTTATAAAGCAGGTTCTCCTGACACTCTTAAAAAAAACCAAACAAGCAAAACAAAACAAAACCCCCCAAAAGCAGCGAACAACATGACACCACCATAGATTCAAAGAAAGTAACTGTACAAGGGGCCTAAGCCCAAGTGTCCAAGTGCAAAGCCAAGCCGAGGACAAAACGTGGAACAGCTTCAGAAATAAATGGACTGTATGTCACTTCAACAATCCTTTACAAAGACCACTTCCCTTAACTGGGCTGCTGATAAAAGTTGTTTGGTGAACCGTTTCCGTTATATTCTTTGCCACTGGGGTCTGTGCTGATTATCAAAGGCAGACCCACATTCTTAACAGATCAAAGAACAGAGCCGGCTGTAAACACCGAGGTGCCAAATCAAGGCTCTCTGTAGCCTAGATCTGTGGCCACCTCACCCGAGGGAGGGGAGCGATGGGCGGGCCCCTTGAAGGCGACAGCAAGCGCTTTTCTTGGAGAGTAACTTTGGGAATGCCCCAGGATGAAGTAGAAATGAACCGATCACACTGCTGGCTCTAGAACACAGAGCACAGGCAACACGATTTTAGTCCAGAAATTTCCCATGGCACTTACTACCAGTCGCCCAAGGCAGCCATCTGCTACACACTGTGCAGGGCCCAAGCCAGGAGTGGGAAAGGGCTTGGTACCCTAGAGAAGGAGGGTGAGAGGTCCCTGCTGAGTTACTCACCACACTCGCCGTGGTGGGGCCAGCCCACAGGGGGATGGGAATGGACAGCACACGTACGCCCAAAGATACCCCAGAGCGTGCACCGGACGTCGATCCTCCCTGGGAGAAGAGCAGTGGTCACAGAGCAGGGGAGGTTGTGCAGGGCCCAGGAGACCAGGTGCTGGAAAGCAGCTGGGTAAAAAGACCCATCCCAGGGAAGCAGGGAGGTGGCAAGAGGCAAGTCTGCATGTGAGCAGGGGCTCTGAAGTCCCTGTGTATACCCCACTGTCTCATCAGACTCATGTACAAAACACACATTCAAGGGGCGCCTGGGTGGCTCAGTCGATTAAGCATCTGACTTCGGCTCAGGTCATCATCTCACAGTCCGTGGGTTCGAGCCCCGTGTCGGGCTCTGTGCTGACAGCTCAGAGCCTGGAGCCTGCTTCGGATTCTGTGTCTCCCCCTCTCCTGCTGGCACTCTGTCTCTCAATCTCTCTCAAAATAAAAATAAACATTAAAAAATTTTTTTAAAGCACACATTCAGAGATAAAACTATTGGGGAGGGGGACTGGGTGGCTCAGTTGGCTAAGCGTCTGACTCTTGATTTCGGCTCAGGTCATGATCTCACAGTTCGTGAGTTCGAGCCTTCAGCTGGGCTCTGCTCAGGACGTGGAGCCTGCTTGGGATTCTCTCTCTCCCTCTCTCTCTCTGCCCCTCCCTCATGCATGCACCCTCACGCTCTCTTTCTCTCTGCAAAATAAATAAACATTAAAAAAACCGCACAGGGGCGCCTGGGTGGTTCAGTCAGAGAAGCATACGACCCCTGATCTCAGGGTAGTGAGTTCAAGCCCCACGTTAGGTGTAGAGAGTACTTAAATAATTTTTTAATTTAAAAATTTTTTTTTTCAACGTTTATTTATTTTTGGGACAGAGAGAGACAGAGCATGAACGGGGAAGGGGCAGAGAGAGAGGGAGACACAGAATCGGAAACAGGCTCCAGGCTCTGAGCCATCAGCCCAGAGCCTGACGCGGGGCTCGAACTCACGGACCGCGAGATCGTGACCTGGCTGAAGTCGGACGCTTAACCGACTGCGCCACCCAGGCGCCCCTTAAATAATTTTTTAAAAAGATAAAATTATTAAGAGCTTCATGACGGTGACCTCAGAGCATTAAACCCCAAGTTGATTGCGGGGTCCTTCTGCGTGCGGTGCCCCGTGTGACTGCACTGGCTGTGTGCCTATGAGGCTGGTTGTGACAGCCATAAGAAATCGTGCCGAATACTGTCACCAAGTGTCTGTTTTTCAGTGATAAAACGTACCCATAAACCTAGCAACGGAATGAGTGGGAAAAGATATTCCTCTGTCACATTTATAATTCTGTATCATATCATCCAGAGCAAACATTGGCTCAAAGTTACCACCACTACCTAAAAAATGTTTTGGCTCTAAAACGTGAAACAATTGTTCCCATTCTGACTCTGGTAGACTGATATGGGACTCCTTATGGAATGCCTTCAGGCAATCCATGTATGTTTATTTTAAGAGTTGAAAATTGGGGCGCCTGGGTGGCTCAGTCGGTTAAGCGGCCGACTTCGGCTCGGGTCATGATCTCACGGTCCGTGAGTTCGAGCCCCGCGTCAGGCTCTGGGCTGATGGCTCAGAGCGTGGAGACTGTTTCCGATTCTGTGTCTCCCTCTCTCTCTCTGCCCCTCCCCATTCATGCTCTGTCTCTCTCTGTCTCAAAAATAAATAAACATTAAAAAAAAAAAGAGTTGAAAATTACCTTTTATTGAAAGTGATTATTAATATATCTGCCCGTAATATTACACTTCACCAACCTGCTCTTATATGTGCACTTGCATTCAAGGTTTTTGACATTATGTGGAAAACAAAAATAAGTTGATCAAACTGAAGGATTTTAAGGAAAGCGATTATGATCTGATGCAAAATGGTTCCTGCTCTCGTGCGGGAAACAGAATGGGGGCAATACAGACAGAAACAGAGAAACCGGCGGGAAGGTACCATAGCGGTTCTGGTACAGGGTAGCGGTGGCCTGGGCGGCAGGGGCGGGGTGACGAGGCAGAAATGGACACTAAACAGGACTTCGTGCTGACGACTGAACAGGGGAATGAAGAAAAATGAACCAAGAGTGACTCCTGGGTTTCTGGCCTGAACAGCTAGATAAATAAAGGTGCTCATAGAGCTGGACGTTTAGCTGGGGAGAAGGAAGAGAAATCAACCTGCGTTGTTGCAAATGTTGAGTCTGAGACGTCTACACACCTCCGAATGGAGTCAAGTAGGTACCAGGATATGGAGGGCTGAAGCTCACAGAGGTCTTGGCTGTGTATACATTTCTGAAGATAGCAATACACAGGTGGTTGTTAAAATCACAGAAGAGGGGCACTTGGGTGGCTCAGCCAGTTGAGCATCCGACTTCGGCTCAGGACACGATCTCATGGTTCACGAGTTCGAGCCCCGCATCGGGCTCTGTGCTGACAGCTCGGGGCCTGGAGCCTGCTTCGGATCCTATGTCTCCCTCTCTCTCTCTGCCCCTCCCCCACTCATCTCCTGACTCTCTCTCTCTCTCAAAAATAAATAAAACATTAAATCACAGAAGAAAATGTCACCACATTGGACAATAATGTAGAGAAAGATAAGGGCCAGGCTTCAGTGATGGGGAGCACTGAGCTGTCGAGGTGAGGTATGGAGGGAGGACGGGGGCAAGTTGTGAGAAGGGAAGAAAACCAGAGAACGGGGTGTCGGGAAGCCAAGGGAAGGGGCGTGGCAGAAAGGTCTCAGAAGATGACCACAGCAAAGGGTAAAGAGGGACTGGCAGCCTGGAGCGCACGGACAATCCTGACAGGAGAAGTCTGTATGAGGAGGAAGCAGCTGTGACAAGGTTGGACTCCAGAAGGATGGGAAGGAAGGAAGGGTGTCCCAGGTAGAGACAGGAGCACAGGCAGTTCGTGAGAAATTCTGCTGAGAGCCGGAGCCTGGAAAGGTAGCGAAAGGGAGTACTGTAAGAAGAATGATCCAAAGAGAGGCAATAACTAAAGCAATAAAGCTCTGGGTAGACGAAAAGGGCTTCGGGTTTCCCCAAAGCTGTATTCCCCACCCAGTACAATGAAGGGACAGAAGAGCAAAGGAGGCAGGAATTTTTGCAAGGAAGTGATTCTAACAATGGATCACAGACTCCAGGCTGGAGAAGGAGACAGGAGCAGCCAGGAAGTGATTCACGTAAATACGAAAATGGGGAGGCATCAGAGGTAATGAGTTCCAGAAAGTATTGCAGTCAGACTCGAAGAAGAGGAGGGTGCTTGACCGACGGGGGGAGGTTTTGGAGCTGGTGCATTTTCTGGTACTGACGAGGTTCGGGGAAGACAAGCGGGTAGGACAGATGGTCAGAGCAGATGTTCAGAGCCGTAAGACACAACTCGTCAAGAGGCAGCACGCGCCTGGAAACTCCCTGCAGGTGACTGTGGTCAACAGGGATATGACAAATGAAGGGAAAATGCAGACACTCCCTGAGAGGGAGGTACAAAACAAGCCCTCCGGCCTGTTCCCCAGGTAGAAAGCTGCTCAGCAGGCTCCCTGGGGCTCCTTGTGTGTGTGTGTGGGGGGGGGGGGGGGTCATGGCAATGCTCAGAGGCAGGCAGCACCTGCTGAGACTTTCAGAGCTCAAACTCTATGCTTTTATAAGGTAAATTATACCTTAAAATTTTAGACAGTTTTTTTTGTTGAAAGAGAGAGAGAGTGTGTGTGTGCGCTCAGGGAGAAAGGCAGGAGAGAGAGAGAGAATCTTAAGCAGGCTCCACACTCAGCAGAAAGCCCAACGCAGGGCTCCCAAGACCCTGGGTTCATGACCTGAGTTGAAATCAAGAGTCAATCAACTGGGCCACCCAGGGGCCCCGATTTTAGAGTTTTAATTTTTATTTTAGATATTCAGAAAGCTCCTGTATCTCAAAACTTTACTTGAACCAAGTATATAGCAACACGTTGCTATATGGTGACCCACAACTCAACAGACATCTACTGGGTTCCCACCGTTTCAGGTTCTTTTCTGGGCCTCAGCGTAGATTTACACTGTAGCGGGAGAGCCAAGAAAGAGCAGACATGTAAGGAAAAAAATAATATATTTTGTTATAAACAGTAGGGAGACTACACACGAGAGCAATGGACATCAGCAATAACGGGGCTGGCAGTTATACGCTCATTTTACTTGGGGCCATTGCCTTGCTAGGTGCCACGGGCGTCCGCCACACGTGTGTTCATTTTTGTGCACGCCTGTGTCCAACATTCTTTCCATGTTATGTTGGTGTAGTAAATACCTCAAAACCTGATAAAAAAACAGATTAAGAAAAACACAGAGGCTAACGAGTTTTGAAACGAGAAGCATCAACACTCCACGGGTGATACTATTCACCCGTGGAGAATCCACTCTATGCGACAGGCTCTCTGTCTAGGGGCTCTCTCAAGACACAGGAAACTCTAAAGCCCAGTCAAGGTTTCTAGGCTGTCTCTTCATGTCTAAGATGTCATTGTCAGTGCAGGGCAGCACTGGCCAGTGAAAAGCAGGACTTAACCAGTCCAATGCATCTGTCAGTTCATTATTATCTATCTATCTATCTATCTATCTATCTATCTATCTATATATACCTACCACGGACAGAAAGCTATTTCAGGCTACCACCGCTTGACGACTGTAGCCACTGTGGTCACTCTGATGATCCCATATTCCCTGGACTATCTTGTGAGGACAGTCTGTCTTTACACAGGGGAGAAAAGTGCACTACCAACCCCATCCACTTAACCACTTTGCCCCCCGCCCCAGCATTTATAATGCTTACTTTAAGTTAATAAGCTGACATTATGTTCTTACTGAGTATCGTGCCCTTGAGAGCTTGGTTAGATGGTTTCCCCCTGAGCCATATCACTGTCAAGTCCAGTGTCTGGAGTAAGGCCTGACTGCTCCCTGGATCTTGAGGTCCCAAGTTCTAGGAGGACCTGCCTCCTTATTTTCGCTCACTCTCTGCTCTGATGTTTACGGTTCCCACCTGGGGTTCAGTTTAATGGTTCGCCTAATAGCTACTAAATGCTTCCCACGGTCTAGGTATTGTGCTAAATGTCGGAGACCCAGAGATGAATAAGACACAGTTTCTGCATTTGGAGAAGCTATCTTATAAAAAGATAATCTTATATAAAGCAATAGAAAGGAAGCTTAGAGACAGGGTGCTTGGCCTTACCTGGGGATATCTGCTAGATGACATTGCACTTGAGATGGAAAGGCTACATAGGAGTCAGCCAGGTAAACAAATACAGAGAAGGGCAATCAAGAGGGAGACTGAATATATCATACACAAAATCAAGAAGGCAAAATGAGTATCAGGCAGAAACGTTGCAAACAATCAGTGGAGTGCAAGAAGAGAATGGCAGCCGATGAGGGCAGATCAGGGCAGGACGTAGGAATCAAGTTAAGGACCTGAGCTCATCCCAGAGATAACAGGGATGAAGGGTCTTAGCACGGGAGTGGCCTGATTGCATCCGCCCATGAAAAACCCCTCTCTCTGGCAACAGCTGGGAGGGCAGACCAGAGGGGAGCATGTCGCGGAGGGGAGACCCGTGAGGAGGCTCTCATGGTAACCTGGGCTTAAGATGACTGGGACTTGTCCCAGCACACTGGAAAGGTAGAAATGCATTCAGAAATAGAAGGAAAACACTGGCAAGACTCTGATTACATTCACGGAGGTGGGGGAGGGAAAGGGAGGAGTCTAAGATGATGCCCAAGCTTTTGTCTTGGGCGACTGAGGGAAAAGCAAATGGGACAGCAGGAAATGAGAAGAATGCGGGGGGGGGGGGGGGGGGGGAGGCGCAGTGTGGGAAAGGAGACATACGTGGAGTTGAGTTTTCAGTATGCAGGGTCGGGGTGCCTCTGGATGCTCTGAGGAAAGTATGTGGACAAGGCGCAAGAGTCTGCAGTTCAGGGCGATGAAGACACATTTGGGAGTCAGCGTGTCCCTAACGAATCCTTATGGAATGCCTGTATCTACCGAATATGGGTTGTGATAGAAAGAACGAAAGGAGAAGGTCACCAAAGATGAGCACATGGTGAGACTACCAGAGGGCTGAGAGCAGAACCGAAGGAAAATCAACGCCAGGGCACCAGAGGGAGGGAAAGGCTTGGGGCGAACGGAAGAGCAATGAGAAGCAGAAGCGACGTCTCAAAGACAGAGGAAGTTAGATCAGCGCGAAGTTAGATCAGAGGAAGTTAGATCAGATCATCAAAGAAAGCAAAGAAGTCCAGAACGAAAAGGCCTGGAACAGGTCATTTGGTTTGGCGATATCAGGTGGCCTTTATCAAAGTGTCGCATGGGTGAGAGGAGGTCAGACATCACTGACATGAGATGTGGACAGGAAGTACTGAAACAGAGCAAAGAACAGAACTGTTCACAACCCGGCCACATCAACAATTTGAGATTTCCACCTACGGCCTATCTTGTATAATTCATTCCTGGTGTGGTGGTTACTTTTTTGTATCATCTTGGCTGATGGACCAATAATCTTTGGCCAAAGATTAACCTGGATGTTTCTATGAAGTTGTTTTTTGAAACACTGAAACTGGCAGACTTTGAGTAGAGTAAATTATCCTATCCTTCACGGTGTAGGGGGGCTTCATCCATTCAGCTGTAAAAGAACGAAAGATTAACCACCCCTGAAAAAGAATACTACCAGTAGACTGCCCTTAGACTCAAACTATACTAGTTCCCTGAATCTCTACCCTGCTGGCCTATCCTGTAGATTTTAGGATTACTAAGCTTACATAACTGTGTGAGTCATTTCCTTAAAATTATCTATCTACCTACCCATCCATCTATCCATCCATCCATCCATCCTTATGGTTCTGGTTCTCAAACACTAATGCAGATGTGGGTACAGAGAATGGTTCTAGACTAACAGAATCTCAAGGCCAAGTTTTCTGAATCTGATCCTGGGGTGTCTGGAATTGGCTTTCTAATGTGATTAGATTTAAATTTTTTTTTTCCACATTTATTTATTTTTGGGACAGAGAGAGACAGAGCATGAATGGGGGAGGGGCAGAGAGAGAGGGAGACACAGAATCGGAAACAGGCTCCAGGCTCCGAGCCATCAGCCCAGAGCCTGACGCGGGGCTCGAACTCACAGACCGCGAGATCGTGACCTGGCTGAAGTCGGACGCTTAACCAACTGCGCCACCCAGGCGCCCCTCTAATGTGATTAGATTTAAAGACACAAATGACTCAATTTCCAGTAGGTAAAGAGAGCACCGATAGTCCATGGCACGATATGGTCAAAGAGATATGTAAACATCATCACTGGATATCCTACTAATCAAACACTTATAAAGGCAAGGTTCTGGGTCACCAAGTATATAATACCTTTGAAAATTCATCAAACTAATGAATACAATGATATCGGCTGATTGTTCCTAAGGTCACTAGATAAGGTGCGAAAGAGGGGGTCCAAATTCCAAGTTGAATTTCTGAACAAATGATCAGAAAATTTCTCTATCCTGAAAGAGACCCTTATCTGCTTTAGCCACCGAGCCGAGACTGAGGACACCAAGCCCAGAATCTCATCCTGAGAGGGACTGAACTATAAAGCAAACACAACTCCTAACCTCACAGGGCATCTATTCAAGTGAGAGCACTGACTAGAAAGGACTAGAACCCTGAAAACCGGGGACGCTGTGGGAAGACTCTGATAAGGTGGAGACACCGAACCCCTAAACGCTGATGCGTCTTCTCTCAGTGGAAGACACCTGCCTGAGCAGACTAACCTGAGAAAACGGTGACGGCCTCTCGGAGGCAGCTGCCCTGAAAGACACGACTTTCCTTGGACCCACACCCACCACTCCTCTGTGCTTCCAGATTTAGAACCAGACTCCAGTCACAGAAGGCCCCCGGAGGTACAGAGCATGACCCACGAGGAGACCCACTACACTCCAAAAGAACTACTGGGTTTTTCTCATTTATACAGACAGAGATCCAGGGACTGCGTGTGGGAGAACGGTAAAAGAAACAAAAGTGCATCAGGCCAAATTTATTGATATGGGCGCGCTCAACAGAGGTTCTGCATTTCGTGTTGCAGCTCAGAGAGTCACAAAGAGCTCTAATAGTCGGTTCCTTGGCCGAAACGTGGGTCACAAGCGGCCACAGCAAATGAACATGAAGTGCCAGGCCTGTCTCGGGTTAATAGAGAGGAAGGGATTCAAAGGCTTAGGTAGACTGGAACGTTGGAGTGGATTTGTCATTTGAGACCTACTCACCACTCCCCCCGCCCCCCCCCTACTCCCCCGGGAGGGTCCAGCAGACACACCTTTCCCCATGACGGTGAGAAATGAATTTCTGGGAGGAGCCCCGGCATCCCTGAAAAGCTCTGTGATTACTTTGTAAGCCAGCCCTTCGGTGGGAACAGTGCCTCCTAAAGGCGATGGAAGGAAGTGCTTCCTGGAGCGGCAGGGGCCAAGCGGCAGAGGTGGGTCTGGGTACCTGAACACTGTGGAGTGAGGGCAGAATCAGAGCAGCCAGCCTTGCACAGACCTGCAGCATTAGCTGGGTGATCGTGGTGTTCCTAGAAGAGATACAGACGGGCAGCCTCCTCAATTCTTACCTGACATGTAAAGACTTTTTTTTTTTTTTTTCCAACGTTTATTTATTTTTGGGACAGAGAGAGACAGAGCATGAACGGGGGAGGGGCAGAGAGAGAGGGAGACACAGAATCGGAAACAGGCTCCAGGCGCTGAGCCATCAGCCCAGAGCCTGACGCGGGGCTCGAACTCACGGACCGAGAGATCGTGACCTGGCTGAAGTCGGACGCTTAACCGACTGCGCCGCCCAGGCGCCCCCTAAAGACTTTTTTTTAATGTTTTGTTTTGATTTCTCTTGAGAGAGAGGCGGGGGAAGGGGCAGAGAGAGGAAGAGGAAGAGAGAGAGAGGGAGAAAAAATCCCATGGTTCAACACAGGGCCCGAACCCACGAACCGCGAGATCATAACCGGGGCCAAAATCAAGAGTCGGGCGCTTAACCGACCGAGCCCCCCAGGCGCCCCCCCCACTTGATCTTTATAAGCAGAAAAGTTGTAGGTCAAGTGAATTAAAGTCTTGAGTCATAAAAACATAAAGTCACATGTCCTCAATCAATTCCAACCTTGAGCCAGTTTACAGACCCAGAACCCCTCAGTAAAGGGGAGGACAGGTCCAAGCTAGCATAAATTAAAAAAAGGAATCTGAATGAAGGTGTTTAAGTGGCAAACCACTAGCTCTATGTACCAAAATACTTAAAGAACTAAAAACGTGTTCTGTTGCTCTTGGTATTTACAAGAGTAAGAGAAAATTTCAGAGATAAAATACTGTACGGGCCCACAACCTCTTACCGAAAACCCCCGGGGCCAGATGTGTTTCAGATGGAGAATTTTTCAGGTTTAAAAAAAATTAATACAATGCCTACACTATATATCATCTCCCAGCCCCGGCAGGGCCCCGGGAAGCATCCCGTAACCAAACACATCAGTATTTCTGCAGTGAAACACGGATCAGTCACACCGAGTGGGATCGTGCCTAAAAATAGGCTCTCATTAGTACTAGTCAAATTCTGCAACCAAAAAGAGTTTGTGTCAAGCTTAGAAAAAAACGTTCGGTTTCCAGAGATCTGGAGATTTTAAAGTGCTGATAAGAGGCTGCGAAGCTACGCTCTGAAGGGAGAACGAGAAACTGCCCCCCAGCGTGTTCTGTTTCTGAAGCGCACGTATGACAGCCTGATCACAATCGGTGTCGCCTCGACTTACTGTCAAGACCTTCTCTGCCTTCTCCACGATGTACGATTCAGCAACTCTCACCAAGGTTCTTCTACACTGCCAGGCACCGGGGAAAAAAATTAAGTTCCTAACAGTGGAAAGCTGATGAAGAGCAAGTCCCCACAAGTTCAGGGCTGGACCTCCTCTAGAGGTAGACGGCAAGGCCACAGGGCCACAGGGCCTCGGCCAATGGGGCGCAGGGGTGCAGGGGCCAAAGAAAGGCACCGGCGAGGAGCCTCTGCTGCAAACACCCTGGGCCTGTGTGGACGTCCTGCAGGGTAAGCCTGCCACTGGTCTAACTGCAGAAAGATCAGCACAGCCTCCAGAAGAACTCAGCCCAAGCAGACAGGCAAAGGCTCAGTGGGCTGGTCCACATGTAGAGCCTCCTGACGAGGGGCAAGGGACCTTTCTGAGCCCAGCATGGAGTCAGACACTTGGTTGATTGGTAGATTCCGGCTGTGTCCTAGCCAGAAGGATCTGCGTAAGAGGGAGAAGAACCTATGAAAACCACTCAAGATTAAAAATCCCTGAGGAGTAGGGGCGCCTGGGTGTCTGTCGGGGTAAGCATCTGACTCTTGATTTCAGCTCAGGTCGCGATCTTGCGGTTCATGAGTTCGAGCCCTGCATCCGGCTCTGTGCTGACAGTGCAGAGGCTGCTTGGGATTTTCTGTCTCTCCCACATTCCTCTCTCTCTCTCTCTCTCTCTCTCAAAAATAAATAATAAATCTTTAAAAATCCCTGAGGAGTAGTCAGAGCATTGGGTGGAACAGACTCCACGCTGTTCGTAAGGATGGCTTCAACACGGAGGCTCTGTGTCTCCAGAGCAGAATCAGCAGTACGGAGGCTTGGAGAGTCTCACACAAACATTACCACAAAGAGAAGGAAATTGGTGGACACCGTGGGACAGAGTAAAGACGCTCTGTAAACATTTCAGACATGCCAAAAGCCTCCTAAAAAATGTTTGGAGACTTCGCAAGAGAAATTCTATAATACAGCAGAGAAGTTGCAAAAATATATGCTTTGAGTTCCAACTCCATCAAATATGAGCTTTGTGTAGCCTTGGGCAAGTTACACAACCTATCTGATTCTTCGTTTCCTCATCTATAAAATTCATAAAAATAATAATTATCACAGAATTGTAATGAGTTGATGAGATAATGCACGTAAGTTGCTTAGCAAAGGCTTGGCACACAGTAAGCACTCAGTCACTAAAGGCAGAGCAAAAGACAACAGGAAGCTAGTTCTAAATCCAAATTTTAAGGGCTAAGAAACAGGAACTATAGACGGTAGAACACACACACACACACACACACACACACACGCACACACAAAACCTGTATCTATACAGACAGATATAATATCAATCAATTCAAAATTTCTCCCTAACTACTCACTTTCTCTCTGCCCTTCTTAGCCATTCAGGAGATTTCAAATATTTGCATTTTAACACATTTTTCTCTTAGGAAACTGAGTCTTTTACCTATCACCTAGGTAGAAGAAGGCTATATGACAAATACAACCTGAACGTGACTGGAGAGTAACTCACTATAAGACATGGTCTGGTGCAGACTCAAAGTTCTCAGTGAAGCTCAATATAGCACCTTCATTTTTTTCAAGTGCTATCTGGAAAAAGCACAAGATTATGTTAAAGTGACATAACTCCACACTGTGTTCCTTCATGACTGAAGAGAAAAGAATAACACATTTCTTAATTTTGATAAAGGCATCTTAAAAATAATTTTTTTTATTTTTTTTAAAAGCTTATTTATTTGAGAGACAGACAGTGAACAAGAGAACAAGCATGCAAGTAGGGGAGGGGCAGAGAGAGCGGGGAGAGAGAGAGAATCCCAGGCAGGCTCCACACTGTCAGCACAGAGCCTGACACGGGGCTTGAACCCACGAACCGTAAGATCATGACCTGGGCCAAAGTCAGATGCTTACCTGACTGAGCCACACAGGCACCCCCAAAAATGTCTTTCAATTGCACAGAATAAATTCCCCAGGTCCCAAAGTAGAACATCAGAGTCCTAGCATGAACAACGTTCACTGCAAATTCATCCAAGTTTGTTCAGTAGGTTACAGCATGATACTAACTGCGCTCAAGTTGTGGATTTCAATCTGTGTGGCAGTTATCTACAATAATAAATAACTTAGGCTAGGTAAAGACATAGTACATTTCTAAACCCAATTAATTACAACTAAGGTCTGGGTTCAGTGTATCAGTTGCTAGAAAACTACAGTTGAGCCCTTGAACAATAGGAGTCAACAGTAGGCCATTAGCAGTTAAGTTTTCAGGAAGCAACGTTGTAACTGAATTTTCGACTGGGGTGGGGGGTGGTCAGCGTCCCTAACCCCAGTGTTCTTCAAGGGCCAACCACATTCCAACTACATGCCCAGTCAATCAGAGGTACTGCAAAGTATCACAATTTCCAAAGAGACCCCTGAGTTTGGAAGAAAAATAAATAAATAGATTACCGAACAATTTATTAATGAAATCATCCTTTTCTTGATAAAGGCTTAATGGGACCAAGAGAAAATTATAAGTGAATAAAAATCACAGGAGCCACATGCATTCAAAAAGATAATGAATAAAGAGGTTTAAGGGCAAAGATGTAAAGGTCCCAAGAGACCATTAAATTTCTCAATTTAGGCACCAGGAATGGGCCCAAAGCCAACTGATCTCTGCCTTCTTGTCGCAGTCAAAGTCCCAAGGACTGTGGTCTGGACTCTAGGGCATTGCTAATGTCAAGCACTTGGCAAAATAAGAGTGGAAAAGGAAGAAAGGAAAATCACTCAAGATACACGAAGACTTCATATCTCTTCAGCCGCAGGGACCAAGACCCAGAGCCGTACGATACTTGAGACCTTCTAGTTTTTCTAATAATTAAATTCCCTTTGATGGGACCTAAAGACCAAACGAATCCATAAAAATTCTGTCAGAGCAAACCCTTTATTCTCGCTTTTCAAATTATGCCAGTGATCGGAGAGAGCAAGATTAAAATCTTCACAAGGCTTAGGTACACGTGAGATGCACGTTTTACAGAGAATTCAAATTCTCAGATAAAAGATACAACTTAAATAAAAACACCGGCTTTGGGGGCCCGTAGAAGATTCTAATCATCCAGGAAAAATGTGATTGTGGAATCACGTGAATCAGCCTCAGTGGGAATAGAAAGGAATGTGAGAAATATTTAACAGGTAGGCCAGCATTTTCTAGATGCAGCAATATTTCTGAAAAACCATGTAGATCGGGTCTTTCCCAATCAAATCGCATTCTAAAAACTCAGTAGGAAAGATCAACCATCAACGAAATCTCATGTGTCCTTTGTGAGTTGAAACAAATACCTATTTTGTAATACAAATAGTGCTCTATGGGTTTTTTTTAATTCTGTGAATTTGCATAATAGGTGAATCATATTTTCTTAAAAGTGGTGACTGTCGTGAATTTTTAATCTGTCCTTTATTATTTTTTTTTAATGTTTATTTATTTTTGAGAGAGAGACAGAGCATGAGCGGGGGTGGGGCAGAGAGAGAGGGAGGCACAGAATCCAGAGCAGGCTCCAGGCTCTGAGCCGTCAGCCCAGAGCGCAACGCGGGGCTCGAACTCACGGACCACGGATCGTGACCTGAGCCGAAGTCGGACGCTCAACCGACTGAGCCACCCAGGCGCCTCATAATCTGTCCTTTATTATTCATGATTGAAGCATACCCATCCTGTGAAGGATCCAGTCTCCCTGCTGTATCCACAGTAATTCAAAGGGCGCCCGGCACTCGGTAGGTGTTTATTTAGTGCATAAAGACTTGGTGAAAACACAAACTTCGCTTCATGTACTTTTCACTTAGATCTTTCACAGAGGACTTGTTTTTATTTCTTCTTTCGGCAGTATCTGAGCCTAGCGGCTATGCTAGAGTTAGAGTAAAAACAAGTGGTAGAATTTTTTTTTTAAGACTAAGTTTTAGTATCCTGACGGGTAAATCAGCAAAAGGCTGACGGAATTAGTACTGAGATCCGTGGCGTTTCAACTGCAGAGGTAGTGTCTCAAGTCTAAATCTTGGCAACAAGCGTCAAGTAATAGAAAAGTCCTATTGACAAAACACTTAAGGGCTACAACAAACATGATCAAATAATTTAAATATGTAATAACTAGTAATTCCAGAACTATGATGTTTAAAGTCTTTGAAGAGGGCGCCTGGCTGACTCAGTCAGAAGAGCATGTGACTCTCTATCTCAGGATCATGAGTTCAGGCCCCACATTAGGTGTGGAGATTAGTTAAATAAATAAACTTTAAGGGGCAGTCAGTTGAGTGTCCGATTCTTATTCTTAATTTTGGCTGACGTAGTGATCTCACAGTTTGTAGGTTTGAGCCCCGCGTCAGGCTCTAAGCTGATAGCACGGAGCCTGCTTGAGATTCTCCCTCTCTCTCTGCCCCTCCCTTGTACACTCTCTCTGTCTCGCTCAAAATAAATAAATAAGCTTATAAATAAATAAGGAAACTAAAAAAATAAGGTAGTTGGAGAATGTTAATTTATTGCACACATACTTAAAGAGTGAAAATAACCAGATGATACATGAAATCACACTTGGGGAAAAAATATTCCTTGTTTCTTTTTTTTTTAAAAATTTTTTTAATGTTTATTTATTTATTTTTGAGACAGAGAGAGACACAGCATGAACGGGGGAGGGGCAGAGAGAGAGGGAAACACAGAATCGGAAGCAGGCTCCAGGCTCTGAGCCATCAGCCCAGAGCCCGACGCGAGGCTCGAACTCGTGGACCGCGAGATCGTGACCTGAGCCGAAGTCGGACGCTTAACCGACTGAGCCACCCAGGCGCCCCAATATTCCTTGTTTCAAGAAACACTGGATACCCGCTATGCGCCAGGTTAAAGCCTAACTACAGATTACAAACTACTAACAAACTGTTATTGAGCCATACATATGCCTCACTGCAACTTTAACAACCATTAGCATCTATCCTATCCACTGTGCTAAGCACTGGGGATATTTATATAAACAAGACAAACGCTATCTGTCCTGGATTCTCAGAGAGGAAAGAAGAAAAACCAAATAGTCAGAAATTACAAAAAAGAAATAAACAAAGGACCAGGAAATGATAACAGGGAACTCCCCTGGGTAGGGTGGTTAGAGAAAGGCCTCTCTGAAAAAAAGACATTTACAGACATTTACATAAAAAGACATTTATTTTTGAGAGAGAAAGCACATGTGTGTGCATGCGAGCAAGAGAGCTGCGGAGACACGGGACCAGAGAATCCCAGCAGGCTCTGTGCTGTCAGCACAGAGCCCAATGCAGGGCTTGAACTCACGAACCATCAGATCACCACCTGAGCTGAAATCAAAAGTCGGTCACTTAACCAACTGAGGCACCCAGGTGCCCCTGAAAAAGTGACATTTATGCCCTCACTGATGAAAAGGAGACCGCTCTGGGCGGTCCTGGGGAAACGGTATGCCAGGGAACCAGAACAGCAAATGCACAGGACCTGAGAGGGGGATGAGTGTCAAAGAGAACAAGATGGCAGTGTGGCTTGAATAGAGCGAGCAAGGGGGTGAGTGACACAAGCTGAAGTCAGAGAGGCAGTAACCAGATCTCACACAAAGCACCGCAGGCCATGGGGAGAAGCTGGTGAGTCATTGAGAATGTCAGGGGAAGCCATTAAGGACTGTAAGCAAGAAAGTAAGACGATCTGATTACATTTTCCTAAAAATCATTCCTGCAGTTGGGCGAAGAATGGATTAAAAAGAGGCAAGATGGGGAAATGGGGGAGACCAGCTGGGTGACTCTGCCTAAAATGCTAAAAGCGGACTGTTCGTTGACAAGAAAAAAGAGGGGGTGAATTCCAAACGCATTTGGGCGATGGCAGAACCGGATGTGGGGCTTGATGAGGGGCAGGGCGGAATCGAGGGTGGGTCCCAGCCTTCTGGGTGGGGCAGTTAGATGAAAGCCATTTACTGAAATGGGTGGTGCCAATCACGGAGCTTCCTTCTTCAGACCCTGTGTGTGTCCTTCCTATGTAAAGGTGATCAGAGACACGACAGTTGCCAAGTGCACTCAATCCTCATCTGACACCGTTAACCACTATCTCTTCCTTCAACCTTCATTCGGTCTTGGTTTCCAAGACACCACATTCTCCCCGTTCTTCATTTCCTCATCAGACCTCCCTCCCAGGTTCCCTATAGCCCAGGGCTCCGTCCTCGGCCCCCTGCTATTTCCTTCAACACACTCTTCCACGGTGACCTCATCCAAACCATGCAAGCTTTTACTCTCTTCTGTGATGCCTCCCAAATCTGTGCTTCCGACCAGAGCTTTCTCCTCGTCTCTCCAGCACCACCTATCCCAACTGTCTTCTGCCCACTTCTATTAGGATGCCTCAGCAGCGTGTAAAGCTCAACATACCCCAAAGTAACTTCATCACCATCTTCCTCCTACGCTATTCCCTCATCCACATTCTTGACCTGTGAGAAGCCCCACCTGCCAAAAATAGGCTCAGCTTCCCAAGCCCCAAACCTTAGGATCACCTTACCCTCCTCTTTCAAGCCGACAGCACATCAATTTGCAAGCCCTATCAAATTTACTCTCTAGCTAGCGCTCAAGAGTGTGTCCTCTCTTCATATCCCACTGCTTTCATTCACGCCCCCCTCTCTGGATTATCAGAATAGTCGTCTGATCTCCTCAGTCTCAGACCACTCCGACCCATCCTTCACGTCTCCACAGAGAAAGAAAGGCTTCACCAGCCTCCACAGTCCTCAGGATAAAGATCCAGC